ATAATCGCTATTCTCACATTTGCTATTCTTTTGCCGCTCTTTATTTCGTTCTTCATCCTGGCGAATGTGTGATAATAAGATGCAACATAGGTGATAATGGATTTCTCGTCTGGCCTGGCTGTATCCACGTCTTCTGCGTCCAGTAGTCGTGGTATGCCGAGTTCTGAATTAGCAACGTCAAAGGCATAATTGAGATTATCGATGTTCTTATTTTGCTGTAATTCCGACCAATTGACCAAGTCCGGTCTGTGAGCATGTATGAGAGCGTTGAAACCGAGTCCATTCCTCCAGGAACCTATTTGTATAATGTTTAAAATATTTTAAATTTTTCTCATACACACACACACACACACACACACAATATATATATATAACAACTATATCTAATATTTAATCTTATAAATAAACAATATCTAATAATTCTTCTTAATTATCTTATAAATTTTTAATACTTAAAAAAAAAGAGTAAAGTTTATAGCTTAGAAGATTCGCGTGCATAAATATTATAGGATTCCTTTAAACTTTTTTTTAAGACATTCAGATACTTTGAATATTCATGCCGCGTAATTGCATGTAAGATAGAGAATTCGGTTCACCAGTAAAGTCCTGGATGTTAACGCCGGGATAGCCATTTGTCTTTCTCTGACACCACAGTAACAGAGCATCTTTGGCAGACTTCTTCTCGCTACTGTCGTTCTCTTCGTCTACATCGATTTCGATCTCTTGGATTTGGAACCTCAAAATTATGGTCCAGATGAGACCGAGGATCAGTCTGGGATTACCATCTACGATATCTTCTGCACCAATACTCTCAAGGCGAACCTGAAACAGAGAATGTAATTTTTGAGATCAGGAAGAGAATTGTTGAAAAAGATTGAAGAGAATAGTGATTTTATGGCACAAACAATTTTCTGTGCAAAAACATTTTAACATTAAAAAATACCTCAACGTTTACGATAATTATCTTGATCATGTTAAATGAACATCAGCATATAATTAATATTATCTAACTAATACTGATGCTTTTTCCAGAAATAAAAAAAATTGTTTCATATATCACTTCTGTCGTAGATGCAAAACTCCGGCAGAATTTCTTAACTGAATTTTTTTCTTTCTTCGCGAAACTTGTCTCTTATGACATCTTATACTAACATAGTTTCATGTTTCATTACTTAAGACTTCGTCATTTCAATGTGCTACGCTGTGCAGTAAGATCTCGTAAGTTCTTTCGCGAAACTCATCGATCAACGAGCGAATAATGCGCCCGTATAATTTATTCGACGTTTACGTGCCGTTCGCATGATTATTTATTCGCATTCCGATCTATTGCACGATCGCGATACAGCATTCGACGCAGATTGCGTAAATGATAAGTTTTAATAACGGATGAGTAATTCATAAAAATAGAAAATGTGACTTAATCGCAATTCTAAGTAATCTAGAATAATAAAGCGCTATACATTGTAATGATCGTATAAAATTATTGAGAAAATCGATAGATGCTTTTATCTCGCCTTGTTTATAGCTAATTAAACTAATTAAACATATGCAGCTGTTTTTTTTTTTTTGAACTTTCATTGATACACTTTCTTTATATTTTATACGCTGCAAAAATAAAATCAAAAGTTACTGTTTATTAATTTTAGGACAATATCTACAAATGAACGATGGAATCAAAATCTCAAATCAAAATGTCAAAATATATAATTATGTGAGAGGTGTAAATCTTAACGGTGATGTGTTTGGTAATTGATTGTCATTGCACGTGGTCCAAGAGAAACGAATACAAACATTGGTACTTAATACTAGTCTCTCATGAAATTCCTGTTAATTTTATTTAAGCCATGGACGTGCAACGGTTATGAAATTTATTTCGGACCATTAATTTCGAAGCGCGTAAAATCCCGTTGAGAGCGTCGACTCGGCGGAAGTAATTATGTGACCGTGCCGTATAATGAATTACAACTGATGCGATTTAATAATTGCATTTTATTCCGCGTGATCGAAGAGCATGCGGAACGAGCGGAGAAATTTTTTTAGTCTCTTTTCTCCGCTCGGCCTGCTTTCGTACTTTACGACTTCGCATCTCGTAATTATACAAAATAATAAAGTTGACCGTTATGTTAAGTCTTCAAAGCGAATTAGGCAGAACAATTATGTCTTTAGTTTTTTAATATATAGTATTTTAATAACAGTTGTGCTCGGTAAAATTCATCTTAGACATACAATTTGATCGAATATAGCAATATAGAAATTTTAGATGAAAAACAAGTTGTAAATTATTATACAGAGATATATTTGAATTTAATCTTGACACTGGAAAGAGACTGAAGACACTGGCTCTACAGATGATAATTAATGACTTGATTATTCCGCTCGTGAATCTCTTAGTCAGTAAAATTATTCTCGCACATACTACAGCCAGTGACAACCGATTGCTATGTGTCACTGCATTACGGTTCACTTGAGCATAATAGGGTCTTATTGATAATGCAGCATTTGTTACTTCCAATTGGCAACAACGACAATCACGAGTGCCGCGCCGTTATTGATAATCTCTTGTCGATGGTGAAAGTAGAGCGTTAGATCATTGGACGTCCGATGTGCTGTTATTTGTTTGCTGATCACTAATAATTCTGCGATGATATTCAATGTATTTTTAATGGTCGTTTTATAACGCTCGCGGACGTAAACTTTGATGATATAATTGTAAGTATTAGGTCTGTATATGCATGGGAAATATATGCGAAGATCACAGATTATTCTTGTAAATGTTTCCTCCTTGAAAAGTATCGCTTTTTTATAGCAACTGGATATCGTGATGTCATCAGAATCCGCTTGAAGTAGAAGGCAATATTTCTTTTAAGCAGATTGTGTTTTTCAATAAATCGTATTATATTGTAAATATCGCTTTGGCAACATCTTCGAAACGAAGTTTAATTAGGTGATATACATAAAGTCAAAATTTAAGAAACTTAAAAAAAAAAGATATTTAATGAATTCTTTATCATAATAAAGAAGAAATAAATTTGTTCTATATATACACTATACATAATAATTATAAATATAATAATGATGTACCATACATAAATGTAAAGCTTTTACAATTAGAACACGCATTAAGGTAACTTAATAAAAAATATTTTCTGTTACAGGAGCTGCTCGGATTTTTTCTGGAACAAGTTTAACCACTGAAAGAGATAAGTCGTTCTTACAGAAATCCAATTTAATACTGGAAATTTCTTATTTTGAGTATATTTAGTGCTTTTAATATTGAAAATAAGCAATCACTTCTAGTATTAAATTTCTATAATAGTCAACTTATAGTGTAACTCGGTTCTCGACTGTAATTTCGCTCGCTTGACGGTATCAGTCTTGAAGTAGGTATGTATCGACGGGATCGACAGTCTTGCTCGCGCTTCTCGCTATGCTATTATAGTTAATCGCGGCGCATGCCGTCGATAGACGTTTCCCGCGCACGGCGGCTGCTGCTGCTGGAATGCAGTCCGATCACTTGTGCCGGGGGTTCTATCAAGGCCGCTGGGAAATAGAAATTATGGCGTTTGTCAGCCGCGCGGCGACTGACAGCATGCAGAATCCAAAACAAAGAGAACGCATAACGTCACCGTTACACGGCCGTCGCCGGCAACGTCTTCGTGGACGAAGTTAACGAGTCGAGTCTGGTCGAGACCGCCGAGTGCTGCTGGATCTCAACGTCATCTTGGCCGACCAGACCGGACTTCCTCATCTCCCGCAGGCTTCCAGCCACGTGCTCATCTCAGCTTATTTTGCGGCAACCGATTGCCAGATGTCCGAACAGGGCGGTTACCACTTCGAACTTATTATCATTTAACTCAATTTTCTTGTAGCTCAAGCTGTGAAATGTGTGGTGGACTTAATCCGTTGAGTACATTATATCCACGTATAGGTAAGAAAATAAAAGGTCGATTCAATTAGTTTAATTAGATTGTCGATGAACATTTCAATCCCAGGTATGTTTTATTTGAGCAAGGCGTTATTGCATATTATTGCAGAATTTAAGAAAGATTATCATTTGCATTTTTTACGTCACACTTGTCACTTATGTTGCTTCAAGATCAAATCTTTCTAATATTTATATTTTATGTAATTATATTAATGATAAAAAAATATTAATAAACTTATACCTCCTTATCATTAAGTTTTAATATATATAATAGTAAAAATTATGTTTTGTTCTCAAGTCAAATTTTATTCATTTTTTTTTTATTAATTGATGCTCGATTCCACGTTATCAAGATGAAGAAAGAACACTCTTATACAATAAATGTTGTCTTATTCTTAACGATTACTGTTACTTATGATGAATATACCCTGCGGCTTCTCAAAGATGCATTCACATGTACTTCCTTCATCGGAAGACAGTCCTCTCGACGAGACAAATAGCGAACAAGGTACATCAGGTTGAGCAGGCGCGCGCGGAATGTCGCAACCGATTTATTGTACTTAAAAAGTTGATCCCTTCCGGCGTGATTCATCGCATCGCATGTGATAACGGGACAGGACGCACGACTAATGATCTACTTAGGCTAAACCGCGTGACGAGAACACGGGGGCAAGCGTATTCCCGTCGCTGTCACCATGCAATTTGCAGCTACCGCGCGCATTATGCACCTTGTCCGTAATAACAGCGAGCGGATAATACATCTACGAGCGGTATCCACTCGATAATGATAGTGCGACGCTCCAGCTAACGATGTGCGACATACGCGCCGATACCGCCGACCGGTACAACGATCGGTAGCCCGATCAGCTGATCGTGCCTCTCTTCCCTTCTCCTCGTCATTAACTTTAGAATTCTAATGCGATGTCAACGATACGCGATACGGCGTGAGCGATACCGGTGTTCAACGGTGCATCGCGAGCTAAAATGCGCAACTCAAAGCGAAGCGCAACCGAGCGATGGAAATCTGCGTAGAATGGCTTGAGATGACGCGATTCACGAATAAAATGCGGTAGACTGTGTTGAATTTTACATGAGAAATTCTTATAAAACGCAATTTCTTACAAAATGCCTTTTTGTAAAATGCATATAAAAACAAATCTGGATGAAAATATGTGGAACCCACGATAGACTTAAATTCCTAGTTTACACAAACTAAAAGTGATATAACATTATCAGTATTATAGTTTCACACTCAATGATTAATGTAATATAAATTATGGTGTCATCAACTATATTAAGTAATATAAAGTAATGTAAATACTAAAAGTAATATAACATTAATGTGATAATTGTGATAAATGTGATAAATAGTGGTTTTTGCATAAAAATCACTATGTTATTATAAACAATAATATGTAAAATAAAATATAATATATATTTAAATGTTAATGTTTGCGAAGTTATTTGCAAAAATACTGTATTTGAATGTGTTCCACATTGCATCGTGTAAATAGAATATTTATCGTATCGCATATATTTGCATAAATATAAATAATAGTATATAACAATTATTTAAAAATATCACGGTAAGAACGAACAAACCGTAACAAACAGTTACGTTTTCATCTTAATATACTTTATATTAAACGATATAGAGTATTCACGTCGAATGATATGAAACGAATGAATAAATTAAATCTAAAATAAAATCTACACTCACATATATAAGCAAAAACCATCGTATGCATTTAACTGTTCTCTAACATTCACCATACACGACGAAGTAATTCAACGAACGGCGATTCGCGAAATTAACTGTGAGGTATTTTTAAATCCACGTCTCCACGAGGTCCGAGAAATCTAAGAAGAAACGAATAAGATAAATATAGCACAGTCG